ATGCGTAAATAAATTTTAGTGGAATTTTCAGAGCACAAATAATAATTATTAAGAAATAAACAAAGTTAAAATGATTTTATAAAAAGAAAAGCTCTAAAAAGTCCTTTTTCCCCCCTTCCCCTCTTGGGCCGGTTCGGCCCATCTCTCTCCCTCTCTCTCCTCTTCCCCGCGGCCCATTCGGCCTCCTCCCCGCGCGCGCGCCGCTGACAGGCGGGCCCGCCCGCCTCCCTCGCTGACGGGTGGGGCCCACCCGTCATCCCCTTCCTCCCGCCGCTCCCGCCGCCTCGCCCGCGCCCTAGCGCCGCCGCCGCCGCGAATCCCGCCGCCCCCGTCCGCCCCGCGTGCAATCAATAGGGGGGAAATATTCCCCGGGATCCCCTCCCCCTTTCCCCCCATTTTTCCCTCTCTCTCTCCCTCGGATTCGTTTGGAAACTCCTCCCCTAACCTCGCCGGCGCCATTAATGGCGGCCGGGACTCCCGCGCCCGTTTCCCCCTCCTCCGGCCACCCCCTCTCACTCCCAACCCTATATAAACCCTCCCCGTGCCTCCCTCCACCGTTTCCGCCACTCGCCGCCCTCTCTCCCCGCCGGAATCGAGCTCGCGCCGTCGCTCTCTCTCTTCGCCGTCGCCGCCGAGCTCCGGTCCGCCGCCGTCGTCACCCCGGACCACCTTCCCCCTCGGCGCCGTCTCCTTTGGCTTCGCCGCATCCCCGCCGACCTCGTCCACCCCTCCGTTCCGCTCGCCGACCGCCGGAGCACCGCCGACCCCGTCCACCCGAGCTGCGCCGCCGCCTTCCTCCGCTCCGGTCGCCGTGTCCGTCGTCGCCGTCGACCCGGGGTGAGCCGTGGACCGCCGCTTCATTTTCCCCCTTCCCTCCCCTTTCTCAGCAGCCGCTCCGCCGTGCCTATGGCGGCCGCCGGCGACCATAGGGGCGCGGGCGCGCCGCCTCCCGCCGCTGCGCCGGCGTGGCCGCCTCCGGGCGCGCCTAGCGGCTGCCGCGTGGGGCCCGGCTGTCAGCCGCCCGCGCCCTTAGGTGCGGCTGACGCGTGGGGCCCACGGCGCCGGCCGGTGCGAGCCCGGGTGCGCCCGGTCCACCGTGGACCGTGAGGCTGCCGCGTGGGCCCCACCCCCGTGGACCCGGTCCGCGCGCCCCTCCCCTCGGCTGACGCAATAAATCCATTTTTTAAATTAAAATTTAAATGAAGAAATTCGCAAATATTCATTTAAAGAGCATATAAACTTCAAATGGCCATAACTTGGCCATTTGAACTCGGAATTGGACCGTTCAAGTCTCTAATTTTTCCTTAGGAAGTCAAGAACCCATTTTTGTGCTTTGTTCCTACTGGTTATATGGAGTTTATTAGAGTAAAAGCCTTTTCTTTTCCGTTGGTCGTGTAGACGCTGCAGCTTCGGAGGATCCGCTCTTCGTGGAAGTTGAAGCCGGCGTTTGGGAAAGCGAGCAAGGCAAGTCACATCATCCTTGAACATATTGAATCCCAGTTTATGAAATTATTTTAATTTAAATTATTGCATTACCGCTTTATTTAAATTCCTGCGTTATCACTGTTTTATTTAGCCATGCCTATCTACCTTTGTTATGACCTTATTATTATTGTTATTGTTATTATTACCTTGTTCACCCTAGATTAAACAAAACCCCAACTAGTGGACACTCTACTCATAGTACCACTAGTATAATTTTAGGTAGATGCTTCGCTGATTAATTAGGTAACATTAGGCGGTTTTACAACTCTAGACTTTGGGATATTCATATCACCTGGACACTTTGGAATTGTTGGATTATTGTGGAATTGGATTCACACCGCCCCCTCTATTCAAAATCCCTAAAATGGTTTTAGGCTGGGCTCGGGGTGCATAGTTTCGATAGTAGCACCTCGGCCATATAAGGACCGGTCTTCGGGCCTCTGTTGCAAAGCACTACCGTACTTCCACATGTCTAGTGGGTAAGGCTTAGTTTGTGGCTCAGTCTGGTTATAAACAAAAGTACACGGATGGAAATGGACGAAGTCGGGGGTCGATGGACATCTCTAGGACAAATGAAGGCTACACGAGCTGCGGCCCGGTAGTCGAGATGTCATGGCACAGGGCCGGTGTCCTGCTGCTAGGGGCTCAGTCCTGCCTACCTGTCCCGGGGGTTCCGGCCGTAGGTGGGATTGGGTCGGTACTCTTGTCTATGGCTAGGATGGGTTGGAAACTATGTCACGTCTTCCGTCTGTATACCGTGGTGGTATGTGGCACGTGGTTACACGTGAGGAAGATGTGTCTTGTAGGTAAAGATGTACACCTCTGATCAGAGTATAACCTATTCGAATAGCCGCGCCCTCGGTTATGGGCAAGCCGAGCAATGTACCCAAGTTAGTGTTTTTAATTCTTCAAACCTGCTTAACAACTAAAATGTGGAATGGTTGGCCTGGGTTGGCTTGGGACGAGCTGGGACCCAGGGTCGGGTTGCCAGTTCGGTCTGAATCATCGTAGGCCTTGGGTTAAGGCAGGTTCGTGTGGGTTCACGGCCTTGATTAATAATATTGTATAGCTCTAGGACCGTGTTTACAAAATAGCTTTGAGCAACTAAGTGTCTTTTAATGCTGTTTACTGCAAACCCTAACCCCCTATATTATGGCTCCCTTGTACTTCCTTACATTTATTCTGCACTTGTGGGTGTGTCTTGTTGAGAACGGTGGTTGTACTCAGTCTTGCTCAATTTTTCCCAAACCCAGAAGAGGAGTTCCTGGAAGATGAAGGCTTTGGTGTCTAGCTCGTGCCTGCCGTCAAGCGCCTGTGGTTGTCGCCCTAGTCTTCCGCTGTTTTTCATTTGTCTTCTTGTGTGCTGGGTCTTCGCCGCCCATGTAATAAATTAATTACGCTTCCGCTTGTTAAACTCTGAATTGTATCAACTTTTGGTGTACCTTGCCTCCTGGGACAAGGAATAATGCACGCACGTAAGGAACGCCCGTTGGGTTATTTCCGGTCGTGACACACATGCCATCGGTCCTCACTGGCACTTGCCCAGCTTGAGACTCCAATGCTATGGCATGGAGCTTGGGTCCATCCGGGTGCATCCCCAATTGGTTCCCAACCTGCCTCATACATCTGCACGGGTGTTGAGGATGATGAACTTTCTCGTTCATTCCTTGCCATGTTGCGCGTCTCCCTGTATGCTCCACCTGCACGAGATTCTTCTATGGTCTGCAGGGGAATGGTTAGTTCACAGCAGTTGTACAAATGATACCCCGCATTTGGCAACGGAATTTCATTTGTACAACCGGGGAAAAGGTATATCAAAGATCCATCTACTTCATGTTTAAGAATATGCCCTTGCACTAGATAATTCTCATCAATACAAGGACGAGCGGCTGAGATGAAAGCTATTTGGTCACTAACGACCCCTAGCCCTTTTGCTCCGAGTAATCAGAGATGTGCACTCAACAAGAGCAAAAAATCTTATACGTCCTAACATTGCCTTATCATACATTTCACATGAGCAATTTTGGTTTTTGTAACCATGGCAAACATGATAATTAATTCATCCCCCCTAATGGGTCTAAGATCACCTCTAGGAAACAAAGTCATAGCAATCCACCTGTGCATGAGCCTAAGTGTAGGATTATGGATATCATTCGTCCTAGGTTTCTTGCAAATTGGAGCACCATAAATATCTTCCCAAAACCTATTTTTCTCGAACAAAGAAATTCCTTTCTGGAGATCGATTTTACAGGAATCGTGAAAGCCAAGAAGTGTACTTAATCCTTTCCATGTAAGTGTGTATTCTTTATGGAAAAAGCAAAAGGAAACTCCATCTTCTATTTCTTTCAAAGTGCACACAAATTGAAAAGTAAGCAAACGAGAATCAGGCTCATCAACCACAGCAAATCTATGCCAACCAACAGCTTTCCAAATAGCACGAAAATCAACATCCATACCTATCTTTTTCAGCAGCTCCGGAGAGTATTCTCGCATGTGAGCGTACTCCCGGTCGCTCAGAATGTAGTAGGCTTGTCTTTCCCAATCGTCAACAAGGTCGAGGTCGGCGTCGTTCAGGAGACGTCGCGGAGCTTCGGCGTCCTCTATCGAGACATCAGCTGATGAATGAGCACTAGACTCGTCATGATGACTTGACGAAAAGCCAGACCCCTTGAACAGACGAGACAGCTGCCTCCTCATTCTGCACAATGGAGCAAGAACGGTCTAACTCGGCGGGGATTAGAATAGCAAGAGTTTCACCCGCCGGTTAGTTTCACCAAAGCAACTTGTATATATGCAGCTAAGTATTTGAATTTGAGGGAAACTATCAAAGCTTGAATGAACTTGAGAGCAAACTTTAGAATGGGAATGAAAATGTGTTGAAATGGGGTGGATTTCCCTCTCCCGGCCGGTTGGCTTAAGTGGTGCACCCACAATGGTCAAAACTGACCTGTGGGGCCCACTAGCCGTTGCCTCAAAAAGGGAGGCAGCCGACCGTTGCCTGGCCGGTTCGGCCGAACCCTTGGTGAGCCAAACCAGCCCTACTTTCGGCCGTTGGGTTCCAACGGTCAGTGTGGTCGTGGCACAGTGAATTTTCGTTGAAAATTTTATTTTGATTTGCTCTGAAAAATTCATTTGAAGAATTTCCTCAAAATTCAAAAAAATCCTAAATGCAATTTTCAAATTCAAACATGTGATGATGCAAAATTTTAAATTGTTGAAAACAAATATGCGGATACATACCAATTTACCTGTTGGTGAAGGTCGCGTCATTTTAAGTCCGACGTGCAAGACCGTACCTCCTTTCAGTTCAGTGCGCGGATTTTCCACCCGTCTCCGGAGGTAATGGAGCGGGCGTCTTTGGCTTTTCTATCCACACCTTTGGTTTTGGTGCAAAAGACGGCTTCGACTGCTCTAGCTTCTTGGCCGGTGTACTTGATTTTACCGGCGTCTTCCATTAACGGCTCCTGTGCATCGTTGTTTCCTTTTTTAGGAAATTCTGCATGAACTTTAGGGCCCCTTTGATTCGCAGGATAGGAAAAACACAGGAATAGGAAAAACACAGGAATTGAAGTAGTATGATTCTTCAATCCCGCAGGAATCAAAAACATAGGAAAAAATGAAAGGTGCCCTTTGATAGTGCTATAGGAAAAATACAGGATTTCTCTTCCGGTTTGAATTTGAACAGATAGCCGTTGGCGTTCAAAGCAAGTACTAGCCGTTGCATGTCCTTATATATATTGCTGTAGCTGCAACTGGACATCAACAAAACTAGCTCACCTCACCTTCGATTGTATCGGCCAAGCATGACAAGAGCTCAAACGTGGCAATTCATTTGGTAAGTCATAAATGATTTTTTTTTCTTTTTGGTATGTATGTAAGGATTAGCAACTTATTTGCTTGCTTCTGCTCTCCTATATATATTGGTAGACCAAACCATCAGATTTATTATTTGTTGTTGATTTCCCCTGTGATTGTCATGGATCCAAGTTATCGACGACGGTCACAGAATGAAGATGAGTTCATGCTTTTTGTTCTCCCTACCATCGAAGGAGATTCGTCACAACCATCATCTAGTAGGAAACCGATGCACACATCAAAACTTTCAGGGGCTTGTCGTGTTAATGAAATCTTAACAGGTCATCAGAGCCTAAGCAAAAGGAATTTTCGCATGGAAGTTAATGTTTTTCGAGCTTTAGTCGATAAGTTGCGTGAGAAACAACTACTTGCTGATGCAAGAGATGTCTCAGTAGAAGAACAAGTTGCTATATTCTTGTATGCACTAGCAAAAAATGCAAGTAATGAGACCTTGCAAGATCAGTTTCAACACAGCGGGCAAACAATAAGCAAGTATTTTGGGGTTGTGCTTGATGCAGTTACACAACTTACATGTGTATATATACGGCCACCTTTCCTACACCCCCATCATATCTTGAGAAGACCAAAATTTCACCCCTTTTTTGAGGTATGAACAGATTCATGTTTTGATTTTTTTTTTACTTTGAGTTAAACCAATCATTGTACATAAAAAGACTTAATCAAGGTTATATTTGTATTTGTATAGAATTGTGTTGGCTCTATTGACGGGACACATGTACCAATGATACTTCCACTAGACCAGCAAGAACCATACCGGAATAGAAAGCAAACAATTTCTCAGAATGTTATGGTAGCTTGCGACTTCGATCTGAAATTTGTACATGTACATGCCGGCTGGGAGGGATCAGCTTCAGACGCAAGAGTTCTTCAAGATGCACTAAACCATGGTTTTGAAGTACCTCCTGGTAAATTTTTTCTTGTAGATGCTGGTTATGCAAATACAACACAGTTTCTAGCACCGTATCGTGGGACAAGATATCATTTAAAGGAACAGGGCAGAGCTAATCAAAAGCCACAAAATTATAAGGAGTTATTCAATCTTCGGCATGCACAACTCAGAAACCATATAGAGAGAGCAATTGGTGTATTAAAAATGAGATTTCCTATACTAAAGACCGGCTCACACCACCCAGCTCGTAAACAAGTTGATATTTCGGTTGCCTGTTGTGTTCTACACAACTTCATACGCCTGCATAATGGAGATATGGTGTGGCCAAGTAATTGTCGTTTGGAGATTGATCCAGATCATATTGTTGATGTGCCAAATGGAGACGAGAACTATAATGGTGATGTACAAGAATTTAACAACTCTAGAGAAGCTGGGAATAGAAAACGAGATGACATGGCACATCGGATGTGGAACCATTACGTAGCACGAAGGAAATAATATATTGCATTTGACCACCATGGCATTCAAGGTCAATTACTAGTCTTGTACTCCAAGTTTGTCACATTCTACTTAATGAAGTAACTACTTGCATGCACTCCCTCTAAGCAAAAGTATATCCTACTACTATCTGCTTCACAAAAGTACCCCCTTTGTTTCACAAAAGTACTATCCTTCTATTTGCATGCCATCTATTTCACAAAAGTACTATCCTACTACTTGCATGCCATATGTTTCACAAAAGTACTCACTCTAATGCTGCGATTTCCTTTCTAATCCAAGCCAGGCGTAATGCATCACTTGAAAAGGACAAGAAAACTTCCCTATTATCCTTACCTTTGAAGATATCAGCTGCCACCAATATATCTCCTATTTGTAGACCATGTAAACCTTCAAGCACTGTGATACACTTGTTGATGCTGTAAGGATCCTCCAATTTCTTCTCCTCAATTGCAGCAAATCGATCTATTTCTTCTTTTTTAAGTTTTAGGTATCTCTCATGAAATCCATCATCAGGACTAACAGATTTGATCTTTTGTTTCTTCCCAGGTCGAGATTCAGGAACCTCTGAAGGTGTTTGTGCCGAGCTAGGTGGGACTTTTGTGAGATGGACAGGGGTAGGTGAATGCTGTGAAAAGTCCAAATTGGCTGTCTCAACCTCTTCACCAAAAGGAAATTGCAAACCTGATTCACCTGGAGCATTTGAATTAGGGGATGGTGACTGATATGTATCAACCACATTTGCTTCTTGTGTTGAATGAGCTGGTGCATTCTTTGTCTTCCTTGCATAATGGTCCATACCATGGCGAGTTCTCCCTTCAGCATAACGACCTACACAATTATATTCTCCTCACGATCAGCATAACTTGCCTAAAACATTTCAACAAAACAAACAAACCACTGATAAAAAAAATATAAAGCTCACCATCATAAAGTGGAGCTAAATCATCAAAATATGGGAACGACTTATCTCGCCAATGAATTGCATCTTTGTTCTTGCGATCAGCAAAAGTGTCCCAAACACTTTGTGGTGCACTCACCATCATTCTGTCACTATCCCACCCAAAACCACTTTGATCCAACAAATCTTTAACACTGCGATAATCTTTCTTCAAATCCTGCTCCTTTTGCTTGACTTGGTTGGTCGTAAATGATGTACCGAATTTTGTATTCAGGCGGCAAACAATATTTGTCCATGCTTCCTTACTCCAAGCATTTTGTGTTCGAAAACCTGGCACGTCATGATCTGTTAGGAGCTCAATAAGGAACATCTTCATCTGGTGACTCCATCTGGCTCTCTTTGTCGTCCCTAAATTTGACAAACATTTAACAATTTCAGTTTCAGCAGCAATATGAAACAAAAAAGGTTTGATGCAAACAACAAGTGAAACTGAATTTGCAAATATTACCTATTTCTTGACGCTCTGCAGTCCCATGCTCACTGTCAACATCAACATAAACCTGTGATAGAGGTTGCTGGGCTCGTCGATCGGACAAATTGCGTTGATTTGTCATGGTCATCTGAGAAGAGCCTTTCGATGGCATTGCTTTCCTAACCCCCAAAAAAAAAAGAAAGAAAAAAGAAATACACAATCCTTATCAGAGAGGGATTTACACCTACAGTGCCAATGAAACAAACTAGTTCCAAGTAGTCAGCTTAAAAATTCACTAATCCATAGATCCAAAGTACAGAAGCACTAATAAGTCAATAATAAGTCAAGTATGAAAGCTCAAAAGTGCAGACAAATACCAAATCGATGGCCCTGGCTGCTGCCCTCGATGGCGGACCTGCCGCACGCCTCCGCCTAGCGGAGCCCAACCTGCGCGCCAGATGGATGCTGTGCTTGGTTGCTGCGTGCTGCTAGTTGTTGGGCCGGCGTCCCCAGCAGAAGCCGCATACGCGACTGAGCCGGCGAGCCTCGCCTCCGCCTTGCACCCCCAGCGGCCGGCTCAAGCTGTTGTCTATCTCTATCACAGTTGGCTTTCTTGGCTGCTAATATGTGGTCCTCGGTGTTCTCGTTCCCATCTTTCTCTCTCTCTCTCTTTTTCTGGAAGAAGCGCGAAGGGCCACGGTTTACCGCCAAACACACAAAAGTGGCGCCAACGACGACGTGCGCACGCGTGGGCGCGCCCTTCTTTCGCGCCAGGAAAGTTTCCAAAGAGGTCAGACCTCTTTCTTATTTTCCTGTGAAAATGAACTAAAGGAATGCAATCCTAAGGAATGTTTCCTTTCATTTCCTATGAATCAAAGACATACATAGGAAAAAATCCATAGGATTGTAAATCCTACAAAAGTCCTATGCCAATCCTTTGAATCAAAGGAGCCCTTACTAGGCTATCCGTATTGGGTGGCTCCACTTCGACCACTTGAATATTCTGCGGGTTTGGCCCGTACTTTATTCTGACCGTGGAGCATTGTTCAGTCCTTGGCTGAAACTCAAACTTTTCCTCCTTCTCGTTGATATGGAAACGGATACTTCCCGTTCCCACGTCAATGTTAGCTCCTGCGGTGCTAAGGAACGAACGCCCCAGGATGAGCGGCGTCTCTTTTCCCGTGTCCATATCCAGCACCACAAAGTCAACCAGGATGAAGAAATCCCATATCTTGACTGGCACATCCTCCGCTATCTCCGCTGGGTAACGGACTGACGAGTCAGCAGTTGTAGGCGCATCCGTGTTGGTGCCAACACCATGGTGTTGGTGCCAACACCGTGAAGTTGAGCTTGTCAAAGACGTCCTTCGGCATGACGCTGACACTGGCTCCAAGATCACACAGGGTTTGGTCGTAGGAGATCGTAGGACACCCCGGATCCTTCTTCTTTTCGGGGAGCTTGTGGAGTATGACGTTGCTGCACTGCTCCGTCAGCTTAACCACCTCTGTTGTTGGGAGCGGTCTCTTGTTGTTGAGGATATCATTGAGATAACTAGCATATGTTGGCACTTGCATAGCATCCAACAATGGCACGTTGATGTGAATCTTCTGGATTACTTCAACAAAGCGAGCGAACTGCTCGTCCACTGACGGTTTCCTACTCCGTTGAGGAAAACGGCAGCAATCATGTGTCGAAGTATTCCTGCGGCACGGCTTTTTCTGGCTGAACCTCTTTGTCAGCCGAGTCACTAGATGGCGCTTCTCTGGCAATCCCATTAGTTCCTGTAGGGTTAGGATACGGCGGATCACGAGTGGACTTACCTCCCCTCGTCGTGATCGCCTTGACATTTTCAATGGAGGAGTCGGGTTGGCCCAGAATCCTCCCAGTTTTAGTTGCAGGGACTAAAGAAGCCAATTGAGCTAGTTGTGTTTCTATCATTTTATTGAAGCTCAGCTGGCTTTGTAAAGCAGAAGCGAAACCATCTAGCTTAACATTGATGTTCTCTAGGATCTTGTAGACCCACCTCTCCCAGGCCGGGCCTGCTTACATCTGATAGCTTTTATAGGTCATAGACTGCCCTCACAGACCAACAAAAGTCTTTTCTGCACACTTTGTCCTCATTCGTGCGCACCCGGGAAGCCTGCTTACATCTGATAGCTTTTATAGGTCATAGACTGTCCTCACAGACCAACACAAGTCTTTTCTGCACACTTTGTCCTCACTCGTGCGCACCCGGGAACAATTTCCCGGTCGGTCACCCATCCCAAATTGCTCCAAGCCAAGCACGCTTAACCCTAGAGTTCTTTGGAGATCGGCTTCTGAAAACAAGTTGCAGCTTATTGATATAAGTATTCTATTAATGCCCAGGCCAGGAACGTCCCCTCTTGGCCACGTCCGTGTATCCAGTGCCAGCGCACGTGCCATGCTGTGTGACCACTTCGGGTCCATACCAGCTGATGAGTACACAACTAGCTCGGATATAACCATGACTACTTTATGTATTAATCAACCAAAGGTGCATATGTTCTACATTAGATTTACTTGTTATATATTTGAACAAACGTTACTACACAATAAGTTTTGTGTGTTTTCGTTTGCAGAGGTTCTTGCTTGTACGAAGTAAAAGAGGCCGAGCATAACGAATGCATGGATGATAAAGTTGATTGGGGACCAAACCAAGACCTTCTCCAAGTCTACTTCTAACTCACCATGTCACTTTTGGCCCATAGAAGACAAGAGATCAAGTTGTACACGTTTTGGATTTGGAATCAAGCCTCCTAACAGCATCAACTTCAAACGGACCTAGCCGCTGATCTAGAAGGAATTTCGAGGCCCATGAGTACTTGCTGGAAAGCTTATGGAGTCTACTTTCAGATGGTTTTGGTCCCACGTCAAAATTCTTACCGAGCTACCGTTGTCACGTTCCTTTGGGTCTTAGGTAATTTTTGTTTTGGCAAATTTGCACGTGATTAAATACCCAATACCGTTAATTCTTTAGTGAATTACTACAGTGCATTTTAAAAGGTACCTTACAGTTTAAAATTTTTATGCTTGTTTTGTGGACTTCTTTAATAAGTCGCAAAGCAGTGAGGGTTTATTAAGACATTTGATTGATACTAGTAATCATGCACGTGCAATGCACGTTCTTTATTACATCTTGCTTCAACCTAATATTTAGCAATGCATACTTAATATGTATCCAAGACTGTCCATTTTCGTTTCAGAGATAGAATAAATAAATTTTCATTGTAATTTCCACTCAACTTGAAAATGAAAAATAAACACAACACTTCAGAAGTGTAGAGCATCCAACCAGAGTACAACAATGCACATGGAATCCATGTTGGCGAGAATAGATCATTGAAACGGAGAAGACACCAAGCCTCATTTTTGTTTCCATACAAAATGAAAATTAAATAAAATTAAGAAAATCACCGTGTAGAACCACAGTACACCAGTATGGAATATTTATGCTGCAAAGAACTTAAGAAAAATACAACCTTTGCTATCATGTCTATTTTGAAAGAGTATTAGTTTTGCAACTGATCTTCGTCGCCAGATCAACAGGCAACTTTTGATCAATTTTGCACTTGATCAATATTCCTCCACCAATGTTTAATATACTAAATCAACAACTTCCTCATTTGCCACTTGAGAACAATCACAGAACAAATGGAATTTTAAGGAAGAAAACTTATAAAATAAGCAAATTCCAACAGGAAAACCTGGGAAAAAATAGCATGCAGTCAGTAACCACACCCAGATTGTTTGCAAAATAAATTAGCATAAAGATCAAATCACATGTTCAACTCCATTATTAGATTAAAATAGAAATTTCAGCCTCCCTGCTTCTTCCTTCCTACATAACAAATTCACCAATTTAAGAATAATTCACATTGTAAAATTCTACGAAACAACATGTATTTTTACCTGACGTGATTGTTCTAAAGTTTAAACCCTACTAACAACCTAGCAGTATCGAACAGCACAAACCAATACTTCACCTCAGGCATGAGACCCTCCTCCCAAGTGATGGACGCGCCGTTGGTCTGGATATTGTCCGTGAACATTCCCTTGGGGTCCTCCTTCCATAACCTGTAACAACCTGAAATTTTAATTAGTTGTTTAACATGTCATATATTGTGTTTCTGATAAAATTATAGGAGTTTCAAAAACTTTCTTAAAAAAAATTCTCCAGATGATTCTTATGTTTAAAATGGCTAGAAATTTAAACCTTTTACCAGACCTTCGTTTGGGACGATGTGAATCTTTAGTTACCGTTATAGGGAAAACATTTTTTTTCAGAAAACAAATAACTCTATAACCTTGGTGGCGAAATCTATAAGTTGCTGGGTTAATGAAGTCTCATCCAATTTTTCAGAGAGCACTACGACGCTAATAAAATTCACCAACACAACTAAAGACCTACTCACCAATAATTTCCTTGCACGAATGGAACGAGAATATAAGAGACTAAGCCAACTCAATACCAGATAATCCACGAAGATCCACCTTTCTTTTTCTCCCTTTTAACTTTTAAGCCAAGTCAAAACCTCTTTGTATTTAACTATATTAAATGACCAATCGGAAATATAACTTCATAGTCTAGTCATTAATATTTCTCTTATTAGATAATCTACCCAATCACGCATAGCATTTGGTTTGTAATTTGAGTAACTAGTGGCTGTGATTGTGTGATTGTGTACCTGTTTGTAGTGAAGTCCAATTTATTAGCTTGAATGATTTCTTTTGTTTTGCTGATTGGTACATGTTAAATGAACATAGACTCTGTACTAAATCTAAGCAACATAAAATTCCTTGAAGCTCGTCTTGTCTCTTAGACAACCTAAGATGACCACCATGAAGGTTTCATAATTTTATCATTCTTTTTACTACCTCAAGTAAAGCAGTCAAGGTAGTCAAGCTAAATTAATTAGAAACCTAATTGGCAAAATGAAGCAACTTCTAAATGTGCCTAAAGTTGAACTGAAGGATATAGGTTTTATAATTTATTCAAATAGTACATTATTTATAATGAGTTAATATAATTTTTCTAGAATTTTTACAGTCAGTTTTAACCTCATTAAAATTCAATTTATTTCTCAGCATACCCCTTTTCACCTTTTTGCCATAATTAAAATATTTTGAATTTTTGAGTGAAACTTTGAAAAATGGAAACTACGTAACTCAATCTATCTCCACGCCAGAACACACATTTTTGACTCTCTTGTAGCTAGGACAAACTAGTTACCCAAGAAGGAGAGAAGGAAAATTCCTGAAAATTCACTATTTTCAATGTGTACTTATGGTTCTAACCTTCCTTTATCTGTCCCATGGACCCAGCTCGACTTGGCCCCACCTGTCACAGACCTAGGCTCTCCACCAAACCCCAACCCACCTCCAGGTCATCCACCCACATCAGATCCATAAGACAAGCTAAACCCTTTCATCTTCTTCCTCTTTTCTTTCTCCCGTGCCTGTTCTTTTCTTTCTTGCAAGCTGAGCTCCCAGCTCACTTCTTCCCATCAAATCTCCTCCAAACACTTGAGATCCATCCCTGCATGTCA